GGTACTATATATATGCGATGTACAAGATTATGCTTCATTCATGATGTTATACTTATTTGGTATTTCATATCACTGATGTATCAATTATTCGTTGCTGTGTATGCGTTGAGCCGTAAGGCTTCAAGTTGAATAAACAATACAAACAATACAATACTGTGATACATGTGCATTAAGCCTCGTGTTGAAATGAGAAAGGATTACCATAAATCATCGGCATTGCTACCTTCACGTGATGCAAATCAATCTATATGCGAAGCCCGCCTGGGCTCGTGTTGTTGTCGTCCGTGTTTATCTAACTTGTGATAGGCGGTACGTACAGTGTATGACTGAGAAAGTTACAAAGACACAAAGGAAGTTATACTTTCTTCACGTGAATTCGAATTTTTGTTACGTCCCAAAATTTCATAATACAGAAAGTGTATGCTGATAAAATGAGTTCACTAAATGTAGGTTTACATGTTATTAATATTACCATACTTTATTGTCGATGTTCAGACTGATTTACACGTTCCTTCAGTGTTGCTTTGCTCGAGGACAACCTAGTATAACACTATCCATCACAGTTGACATACTATTGGGGTTGTCTGCTGCGTGGAGAGCTTCCAACGACGTACTCATGATTCAAACATTCCCTTTCAAGTCGAAATAAGAAAAAAGCTTACAATATGTTCGAACGTTCTACTGCAATATATTTGTAAATCTCCTTAACTGACTGGACATGACTTGTTCAAGGGGAATTCCTTAGAAAATCATGCTCGTCCTGTTACATGGCATGTACTTTGTATTGAAGGAGTTTATGCATGGTACAGCTGTAGGTGTCCCTACAATAGTACATGGTAAATGGCAGAATCTTACTTATTACGTAGTATAGGTAGCATTAGACCATCCGCATTATACCGGAGATGTCAATAAGTGGTGGTAAACCGCTGTATAATACAATTGACCTGTAAGTTTATAATTAAATATTGATACATATTAAGAGTGTAAGAGCTATTTAAAACGGCCAATGATCCTTCAACGGCACGAATACAATAGCCTAATAGCATCGAGTATTTACGTGATGGAGTCCTCTGATCCTTGTTGTAATACATATACCCTGTATGTTTGATTGACAAAACGCTGTTCTGTGACTTATACAAGTGAAGTAGTAATCTTTCTGGCGTTCCGGCACCACATCATGATGGTCAATTACACAACAGACTTGTTATCGTTTTGATCATCTGAGGGCAGACTTTATGGCACTCGAGCCATACGTCACTAAATGAGGACTTTCAGATAAATGAAGTAGCAACGCTAGTCCGCGCAGTGGTTGACCTAGAGTAGCCCCCTTTAGGGGACCACGTTGTAAATGACGAGTAAGACATATACATCAACCGGAAACATGATCCCCAAGGGAAGTGATGCTGGATATTCTCTGTGCAGGGAGCCTGTGATGACCCTGGGTGATCCTATGTCCCGAAGAAACAGTGCTCCTATTACAGGGATTCTGAAGAAAGGCGGTGGTCCTCGTAAACGACGGGCTACCATAGGGATACGGTGGGAACTTATACCCACACACAGCCGTGGCGATACAGGTATAAACTAATTACAGGTGGCGGTTACTGTCAGGAACTACATTTTGTACAATGTACAATGTAATTAGACTAGAATCGAACACCACACCCGACCGGTAATTTTTAACGGACATACCTTACACTACAGACTAGTTGTTGTATCACATATGTTGATCTGTGATTTATTATTTTTTCAAAGTGTTAAAACAATCTAGTTTACTCTCGTTGTGCTGTTTTCGCATAAATCCGGAATTTACCTGATTATACTGTAAAACAGTGATTCCGGACTTAATCTGAAAAAAATATCGGGTTGTCGTTAATTGTGACTTGTGTGTCCTGGCAATTTGATGATAATTATATCCGTGTAACTGTGTCCCCGGATATATCAGTGTTGTAGTGTGTACCTTTGTTTTCCGATATATCCTTGTTATTTTGTGCCCGTTTCTGTTCGGATGTATTCGTATTGTAGTGTGTCTCTTGTGTCCGGATATATACAGTGGCGTCAGACAGCTGATTTGGTCCGGAACAGCTTGCGACCGTCAAGATATATATATATAATAACTTGTCCGCAATTTGAACAACATTGTTTTTCAGTCATCATTTCACAAAGGAATTAGATTAGACCCAAGTCCTCGATTTTACATATTTTTTTTTACATTTATCACTTGCAAATACTTGTATGTGGGTTAACCTTAATTCTTAAAAGGAATAAACACAATGAAACGTTCCGATTACCGTTTTAGACGATTTCAGCTATACACCACTGAGATACTGTACCTGGCCGAAAACACTAACTGTAGACGAATTAGCATGGAAATACGTCCCGTTTTGTTTCCTGATCAGGATGTCCCTATTCAGCACCATATATGCTTAAAAATATGGCTACAGTCTATAAATTATACAACCTTTAATATAACTTATGTCTATTATTCATTAGTATAGCCCCTCTCATGGCCATTTTACCTCTATATGCGTTAAACATGGTAAGCACGTACTATATTTCATTTCCTGATCAGACTGTTTATGTATTTTAAGATACTCAAGATATTTATTATCATAAAGGTATATTGACAAATTCTTATTACATATAAATACATGTAGCTAAAAATTAAACATCGTCTGGATGAATGGAGTTGCTTCCCTTCCAACGTGGTATCCCCGCGCTGATCTCGCAATGTATATGTCTACTTTAGTAGCATGGCGCCACATTACCTACTATAATCACCAGTATTGATTTGTTGGCTGCAAATAACCATGTTTCAATAATCATTTTGGCATATTTTGCTTGCCTTAATGTTTAAAAAGCAAATGTGATATTCAAGAGAATTTCGATTTTATCCCTTATTTGTTGGTAAAACTATAAAACTGCAGCCGTTACCAAACCCCATTTACTGGCCATGATAACTTCTATAACTCATGTACAGTAGTATTAGAGCTAGCCTATATACAGACAGAGTATACAGTAGTATTACTGGTACAAGTAGCACCGAGATGGGCACAACGAATGTGTCTGAACACTGGAGTTCTTTATATCATTTTAAAATACTATTTTCGACATTTATAAATATTGATGATATAATGTATATTGAACAGACGTATTTTTTCTCTGTGTTCAAAAGAAGAGAGTTTACATTCGTTAACGCTTCAACATTACATAATCAAATATATTACTAATTAAAATCATCATCTTCTATCTGTACCGAAACCGATCCGTTATTTCTATGATTCTAAGGGGTTTTCCTGATTAAGTCGTAGAAGTACGCCATCTTAAATAATAGTGTGTGGAAAAGAAAGCTTTTCATAATGTCATCACTCTGGACAATGTCGTGTAATCCCCAAATATATTTCTTTCTACTGATAACTAATGAAAATGTGTAAAGCAAAAATATACATTGTACGTACAACGTCTTTGTCACAGTATACAACTGTATTGTTAAGAGGAATCCTACGGTTACATAAATAACTTTATATATTGAACAACAATTATGAAACACGTTATTTCAACTTATATTAATCATTCTTGTTGGTCCGGATGTAAGCGCGTGGGGGGTCTTAATTTGGAAGGAAACCGGAGTACCCGGAGAAAACACGGATGATCGGGCAGTCCGATTGGGGAATCCAACCCCGACCACCTTGGTGAAATGCAAGTGCTTTATCCACTGCGCCATCCGACCACCCATGGTTACATCATCAGACGGTTCCGTCGAACAATTCCAAGAGGGAAACCAGTTTAATCGACTAATGTACTGTGTTGTGTCATTGTACTGATCCAATGTGAAATTCAATGGGTGGTACATGTATAACCCTTAACTCGGATCTCCAGCCTATCATTACATGCATACAAGAGTTATCTCCCATTAGAAATGGGTGGTATTTCCCATGACTCCGATGACTTATGCAACCCATCAATACATACGAGTTCTATTAAGAATGTGTAGTATAGCCCATATCTCATGTCTGTAACCGAACAATGCATACAAGTAATTCCCCATTAGTATTGTGTGGTATTACCAATGACTTGAATCTACAAAGGAGTTATCTCCCGTTAAGACTGAGAGGTATACCCCGTGTCTCTGATCTCTAACCAGTTCTTGATTTGCGTTCAATAGAACCTGTTTTATAATGTCCGTAAGGTAAATATCAAAATGTGGAAATTAAAGGAGATTCCTTTGAAAGAACAAAAAATAGTGTTAGCGAAACGTCACAAAATGTCAATGTTCGTTTTCAAAAGCATACACATAGACTTCGTGGAAAAATAAGTGAATAAACAGACGCTTGTTTAATTCAATTTGACACAGTTCGCTTATAATGGAGTTCTTTGTCTGATGGGGATTTAATCAGAGTCGTAGTTTGTGCTTTAGAGTAAGTCCGCGGTGAATTGTACCCGCGGGTCTCTATATTTATGTACCTGTCGTGGTAATAATTGAAACGATTGTAGCTGTGATAATGTGTGGCAGGTGTGGAATACAGGCCTGTGATAATGTGTGGCAGGTGTGGAATACTGGCCTGTGATACAGTACACACGGTCCTGTTTACACACCACAATAATAAGTTATTATTGTCCCAAACTTTGTGTTTGATTGTAAATGTTGTTTCAGTAAATCTGTTAATGTGTTTGCGAATAAAAACAACATTTATCGGCTAGATCACGGAATTAGATTATAAGTCCGTGGATAGATGGGTCAAAACTTGATCCATTCGACCGAAGTTATCTGGAAATTTTCCTACATGTGTCCGGAGTTGTCACCAGATGTCCAAAAGTATCCGAATGTGTGCGATTTGTCATCAGAATAGCGCACTATACAAAACTGTACCCGTATATCTACCTCTGTCCAGCTCGCTACTGATTTCTATAAGTGTTTATTACACCACCATTATATAGACGTTGGCCGTCGGGGTGTTCGCCCCACTCTGGCACTGTGACAGTCGGGACCCTGTGATTATCACCGATACGTATATATACGTTATCAATTGGCTTTGTCATTTTTACAAGGCCAAGCAGCATGTCTTGTGAGGATGTACATGGAAAGGTGTGTGTACGATGGCCCAGGTGATGGTTGTGAGTAAGACAACTTTTTAACGTGGAATGTGAATTTTGGTTTTCGTGGCCATTTATCATGTGGGAACTAATTCGATCAGCATTTTGTAGAGGTAAGTTTAACAAATATACACAGAGATATAGGTAGCACGCGCTACCTCCGTGTAAATTACGTAAAGAAGTGTACCTTAACTTGTTAACCTGATGAAGTGTGTACCTTAAGATGTAAACCTGATAGGTAAAACGTAAAATGATAACACTCCCGACCTTGACCCCACATCCCTGTTTCTCAGCGTCCTCGCGATAAGAGACACGGGGACACGGACTTGATACTTATATTGTGATAGCATGTATCGGAGATAGAAGTATAACTTATCTTTACATTTCTAGGTACGTGAAGGTTTTTCACATCGAGTCCCCACAGGGCATTACTGTACATAAGTACCTGTTTATATTAGTGGGTGATTGATGTCGTCTATAGCTTCTATTATCATATATATCTATACCACACACAACCATAATATGTGTGTCGATGATTTTAACATCCATTATAATGTATATGACGAAAAAATGAATACTGTTTTGAATCAAATTTAATCTACATAATACACTTATATTGACGTGTTATACTGTATACCGAGTAGTATAACCTTGAAAGAGAGTACAGGATATACAGCACGGTGTATCTATCACAGAGTATCTAGCTAGGGGTATCTATCAAGGGGTATCTAGCACGGGGTATCTATCACGGGGTATCCCGCAAAGGGCTTCTAACAAGGGGGTATCTATCACGGGGGTATTTAGCACGGGGTATCTAGTACAGGGTATCTATCACGGGGCATCTAGCAAGGGAAATCTAGCAAGGGGAATCTATCACGGCGTATCTATCACGGCTATCTAGCACATGGGTATCTAGCACGGCGTATCTATCACAGGATAGCTAGCACGACATATCTATCACAGGATAGCTAGCACGGCGTATCTATCACGGGATAGCTAGCACGGCGTATCTATCACGGGATAGCTAGCACGGCGTATCTATCACGGGAAAGCTAGCACGGCGTATCTATCATGGGATATCTAGCACGGCGTATTTATCACGGGATATCTAGCACGACGTATCTATCACGGGATACCTAGCACGGCGTATTTATCACGGGATAGCTAACACGGCGTATCTATCACGGGATAGCTAGCACGGCGTATCTATCACGGGATAGCTAGCACGGCGTATCTATCACGGAATAACTAACACGGCGTATCTATCACGGAATAGCTAGCACGACGTATCTATCACGGGATAGCTAGCACGATGTATCTATCTAGGGATAGCTAGCACGACGTATCTATCACGGGATACCTAGCACGGCGTATTTATCACGGGATAGCTAACACGGCGTATCTATCACGGGATAGCTAGCACGGCGTATCTATCACGGAATAACTAACACGGCGTATCTATCACGGAATAGCTAGCACGACGTATCTATCACGGGAAAGCTAGCACGGCGTATCTATCACGGAATAGCTAGCACGACGTATCTATCACGGGATAGCTAGCACGATGTATCTATCTAGGGATAGCTAGCACGACGTATCTATCACGGGATACCTAGCACGGCGTATTTATCACGGGATAGCTAACACGGCGTATCTATCACGGGATAGCTAGCACGGCGTATCTATCACGGGATAGCTAACACGGCGTATCTATCACGGGATAACTAACACGGCGTATTTATCACGGGATAGCTAGCACGACGTATCTATCACGGGAAAGCTAGCACGGCGTATCTATCACGGGATAGCTAGCACGACGTATCTATCTAGGAATAGCTAACACGGCGTATCTATCACAGGATAGCTAGCACGGCGTATCTATCACAGGGTAGCTAGCACGGCGTATCTATCACGGGATAACTAACACGGCGTATCTATCACGGGATAACTAACACGGCGTATCTATCATGGGATAGCTAGTACGGCGTATCTATCTAGGGATAGCTAACACGACGTATCTATCACGGGATACCTAACACGACGTATCTATCACGGGATACCCAGCACGACGTATCTATCACGGGATAGCTAGCATGGCGTATCTATCACGGGATACCTAGCACGCCGTATCTATCACGGGATAGCTAGCACGCCGTATCTATCACGGGATAGCTAGCACGACGCATCTATCACGGGATACCTAGCACGGCGTATCTATCACTGGATAGCTAGCACGGCGTATCTATCACAGGGTAGCTAGCACGGCGTATCTATCACGGGATGCCTAGCACGGCGTATATATCACGGGATACCTAGCACGACGTATCTATCACGGGATAGCTAGCACGGCGTATCTATCACGGGATAGCTAGCACGGTGTATCTATCACGGGATAGCTAGCACGGCGTATCTACCACGGGATACCTAGCACGGCGTATCTATCACTGGATAGCTAGCACGACGTATCTATCACGGGATAGCTAGCACGACGTATCTATCACTGGATAGCTACCACGGCGTATCTATCACGGGATAGCTAGCACGGCGTATCTATCACGGGATAGCTAGCACGGCGTATATATCACGGGATACCTAGCACGACGTATCTATCACGGGATAGCTAGTACGGCGTATCTATCACGGGATACCTAGCACGACGTATATATCACGGGATATCTAGCACGACGTATCTATCACGGGATACTATAGCTAGCACGGCGTATCTACCACGGGATACCTAGCACGACGTATCTACCACGGGATACCTAGCACGGCGTATCTATCACGGGATAATATAGCTAGCACGGCGTATCTACCACGGGATAGCTAGCACGGCGTATCTATCATGGGATAGCTAGCACGGCGTATCTATCACGGGATACCTAGCACGACGTATCTATCACGGGATAGCTAGCACGGCGTATCTATCACGGGATAGCTAGCACGGCGTATCTATCACGGCGTATCTATCACGGGATAGCTAACACGGCGTAATTATCACGGGATAACTAGCACGGCGTATCTATCACGGGATAGCTAGCACGACGTATCTAGCACGGCGTATCTATCACGGGATAGCTAGCACGGCGTATCTATCACGGAATAGCTAGCACGGCGTATCTATCACGGGATAACTAGCACGGCGTATCTATCGAGGGATAGCTAGCACGACAGTTACCTGTAATCACTATTGTAAACAGTAACCTGTAATCACTTTTGTAAACAGTTACTGGTCTCTTGAACATTTACAAAGTTATCGGTATAATTAAAGCAGATGTCGAAATCAGAAGAATTATAAACAATTGCCTCTATAGTAACCCTTACGGGTAAAAGATTACAGGTGTCGTAAACAGTTAACAGTATTATACTCAGTTACCTGTATAGTAACATGTACAGGTAAAAGATTACAGGTGTCGTAAACAGTTAACAGTATTATTCTCAGTTACCTGTATAGTTACACTTACGGGGAAAGATTACAGGTGTCGCAAACAGTTAACATTATTATATTCAGTTACCTGTATAGTAACACTTACGTTGAAAGATTACAGGTGTCGCAAACAGTTAACATTATTATATTCAGTTACCTGTATAGTAACACTTACGGTGAAAGATTACAGGTGTCGCAAACAGTTAACATTATTATATTCAGTTACCTGTATAGTAACACTTACGGTGAAAGATTACAGGTGTCGCAAACAGTTAACAGTATTATATTCAGTTACCTGTATAGTAACACTTACGGTGAAAGATTACAGGTGTCGCAAACAGTTAACAGTATTATACTCAGTTACCTGTATAGTAACACTTACGGGTAAAAGATTACAGGTGTCGTAAACAGTTAACAGTATTATACTCAGTTACCTGTATAGTTACACTTACGGTGAAAGAGTACAGGTGTCGTAAACAGTTAACAGTATTATACTCAGTTACCTGTATAGTTACACTTACGGTGAAAGATTACAGGTGTCGCAAACAGTTAACAGTATTATACTCAGTTACCTGTATAGTAACACTTACGGTGAAAGATTACAGGTGTCGCAAACAGTTAACAGTATTATACTCAGTTACCTGTATAGTAACACTTACGGTTAAAGATTTCAGGTGTCGTAAACAGTTAACAGTATTATACTCAGTTACCTGTAATGTAAATATAAGCAGGTGTCGTAAATTGTACAGGTATAATAAACAGTTAACTGCATTATAAACAATCACAGATAAAGACATAGGTATTTTATTATAAAACATTACAAGGGAGTGACGCGTGTTTCCTGACTGCACAGTGCTGTATTACGTGTATTGTCTAGAACTACTTGTATATACATGTACATATGTAAGACAACGATTGTAGTTCTCGGTCAATATAATATCAGCAATAACAACCATTAGTCCGTGTCGTTATGCTGACCATAACTGACCACTGACCTGTCAGATACACATGTAGGACTGACATTACCGTATATAAAATACACGGTATTACGGTCCACACGGTGGACACCTAGTACATCATGTATACCATGGTCAGTCGGGACTTGGACACGCGTCTCCCATTAAACAGGGCATGATTACATTTGTATACGGTATGTCTTGTTATGTGAAACATGCCAGAAAACGGAGAAATTTGAAAGTAGATCATAGTAGGACAACGACACAATATATTAAAGAAATCAAGACATTTTCGTCTTCCAGAAATTAAGTTATTCATTTCCGGCTAGTTCAATGGATTGTTTTAGTAATATCGTTTACGATCATACTATATTTATTTTGTTTTCTTTGACATAATGACATTTTGTATACGGTATATCTTCTTATGTGAAATATGCGGATAATTACATTTTGTATAAGGTACATTGTGTTCATCGTATGATCTGAAACATGCGGAAATTCGCTATTTTGTTTTATGCATAAAGCCAAAAATCAAAACAGCATATTTTGAAGCATATTCATAAAAAATGAAGGAATCTAAAAGTAGATCATAGTAGGTCAACGACACAAAATGTCAAGGACATCATGACATTCTCGTCTCCCGGAAATATAATTCTTTATTTCCGGCTGTTGATTTTAGTAATATTGTTTACGATCATTATATGTTTATTTTGTTTTCATTGACTAATTTTATATCTAACATGCATGACAGTGTCGGGGTCGATGTCACATTGTCAGATCAGGTGGTTACATCGCGGGCTCTAATCGTGAGCTTCTCGTGTTGGTATACCGATAAAACCAAAATCATGGTTTTCAGAAATAGAGGAATTATTAGAGAATCAGAAAGCTGGGTATATAACGGCAACAAAATTTCAATTGTGGATCAATTCTGTTATCTGGGGGTTCTGTTTAGATTTAATAACAAATTCAGTTTTGTGGTTAAACATGTAGCAGAGCAAGGTCGTAAAGCGCTTTTTGCCTTACGATCTAAATGTAAACACATTCATTTAATCATCAAAATTATGCTACACCTCTTTGACACATATATGAGTAGTATATTATATTATGGCTGTGAAATATTTGGTAGTTATAAAGGAGTTGAAATAGAAAGGGTTCATATGGAATTTTGTAAGAATATACTGTGTGTTACAATATCTACGTGCAATGCTATGGTATATTTTGAGCTTGGACGACTTCCTCTGGCAAACAATCAGATGCTTCGAATGTTTAAATATTGGTTTAAGTTGTTAAATTGTGAGAATTGTATTCTAAAAGAAGCATATCAGTTTTTATTGAAAGAAACTTGGAGGGAAAACCCGAAACGAAATTGTTTATTATTCATAAAGCATAAATTATTTGAACTAGGGATTGGATATATATGGATAAGGCAGGGATCTACCGACATCTGTCTACTACCTATTATTAAACAGCGGATATATGATCAGGCAAAACAAACTTTATTCAACTCGTTGGCCATCTCAAGTAAATGTGATCTCTATAGATATATGGTAGATATCGTGATGTTGCAATATTATTTAACAAAGTTTATACCAAAACAACGTCGAATTATGATTATCAAATTATGTATGTCAGCTCACAATCTTGCAATAGAAACGGGAAGATACAGGACTATTGCAATGAATAATAGATATTGCAGTAACTGTGACCTAATAGAGATAGAAGATCAATTTCATTTTCTATTTACCTGCCCACGTCATCTAGATCTAATGAGAAAATATATTTAAAATTATTACTGGCAAAAACCATCTGTATTCAAACTTATCGAATTAGTAAATACACACAATGTAAAAGAACTGAATTTGTTAGGTAAATTTATCATTGAAGCTAACAAACGAACGATTGCTTAACTTATTAGTCTGTTTTACCTAATTTGGTATTACTCAATCATATCATGTCCATGTTTTGTTCGAACAATCTTTCATGTTTAAGATGGTAAATACTCAATGTTTTTGTTGTTGATGTTGTTGTTGTTGTTTTTGTTGTTGATGATGATGATGATGACGATGATGATGATGATGATGATGATGATGTAGTATTTAATGTTGATTTAAAGAGATGATTATTTCATGACGATGAGTTATAAGACGACGACGACGACGGCGACGATGATGATGATGATGATGATGATGATGATGATGATGATGATGATGAAAGCGATGAATTATGATTTCGATGATGTTGTTGTTGCTTCTGATTTGTGATGAATGTGCCAGTAATATGTAATTTTATGTTATACTTATATGAAATTATTTGTTGAAATCCTATAAGTTGTAAAACTTACGGAAATAGAAAAAAAAATTGGGTCGTTAACTTGTGTTCACAATTAAGAGTGTGTCTACTAAAACTAATACATTCGATAATTGTGCGTACAAAAAACATAATGTTTCAATATTCAGTATCCGATGTTATTTGCGTTTTTTGTGTTGGACATCGTCTATATTTCTAAGGTTAGGGTTCTAACCCTAACCCTAGAAAATCCAGTTTTTGAGTTTCTTAATGAAAGGTTGGACCCAGTGGTCTCTACTTAACATCAAGTATTACACTGGCTGGGATAACGTTGTATCGATGTTGGAAATTACACGTCGTCAGAGGTCAGATACTAAATACAGTAAAGTCGGCATTGAACGTAAGAAAATGAAACTACATATTAATTTTACATTACAATGATTATACTGAAGCTCATGTCCCACTTCGTGTCACGATAGAAGATTATTATCGTTGAAAGCTAGTTACTGGAATCAGTAAATCCACGGTGTCCAAACATGTTTGGACACCATTTTATCAGTAACGCTCCACAGGGTGTGTTTGCACACATACATAGTAAACTCGTTCTTAGTTAAGGCGGCTGATTTACATTTCTTAGCCTTTACAAAGCAGAGTTGTACATAGAGCAAAACATTTCATCATATTTCCTTTAAAATTTGCTTGAACATCTATTTATGGAGAAATGTCTCTACCAGAATACGCTATAGGTGTGTATGGGTATTTAAAGTTAGTTTGTTCAATGGTTCAAATTCGTTTTCATTGATGTAGCTACATGTACTTATATCAAATACGACATTTAGGGTGTAACATGTTGCAAAAGAAATCAAAATTTGTCTTGCCTTAACTTGTTCGGTCATATTTTATTTTCAGAACGCCACAAAACAAGTGAAACTAAAACAGACGGCGAGAAAGACAGCCGCGGAGACCAAAGGGAAGGGGAGTCAGCCGCCGAAACTGACGAACCTCCGCCTCTCCCTCCTCGACGACCGAGTAAGGAGGGGCAAAGATGTATTCAGCAATCGTACCAAAGTCCCCTGCAGACGAACCACAGGCATGCCTCCAGGGATCAATCTCGCCCGTCCCACGGGGAACGACTTGGTCACAGCTGGCCGCGGCGTGACAACGGACTAGCTGGCTACAAGTCTCGGTATTCGTCAGAGACAGATATAATGTCTGCCCGATCGCAAGCCAAGAAAAAGAGACACAATTTCCTTACAAAGAAGCATGACCAGTGCGTCGTTTTGTCGCGATCTTCCAGTGCTTCATCCTTGTCTAATTGTTCCCCTGATGAGCATGCGTCAACTACCGGAACTGATATGACTCCTAGTCCCGACATAAACATGAACCATTTCATCAATCGGCAATTCGAACTGAATGGGAATTACGTGAAAAAGTCGAAAAGTTGTGAATCAAAACAGCAACATGTGGAGTACGTACGTCAACGAAGTAACGAGGAGGCAGGGCGTGGTCTGCTGGAGGTTCCGTTCCTCAGACACTCTCACAGTGACGCGTCTCTTCAGTCTCTTCGCTCCTGTCCTGAGATAGGTGTGGGAGCGAGTCGTGAGTTCGACGTAAATGGTGACATACATAGCCCTTGTTACGGTAGGGACTACAATGCTATCATCAAACACATGCAAAAGTCACCGTTCAGGAGAAAGGATATGCCTACATCTAAACCCTTTTCTAGTTTTGACGTAAACGAGGTTGAGTCGGTGGTACGCCGTGAGCGGGCTTCCAAACGGATGCCCCAGCGGCCTCATTCGATTGGATACTTCGACAACAAGAGGTATAGTAAAGTGACTAATGTCCGGAGACAACTGGCTGTGTGTGGCCGGAACTCTGATTCTTACCAGTCTCATTCCTCCCCAGCATCCCCCTCCCAGAAGCGCATGCCCCTGGTATTACCGGACGATCCCGGATCCGTGTCCGACCTGGAGTACATCATGGAAAGCCCGCACGAGATGCGGTGAGTACCCTATTTGATACCTCAATGATTTCATAGTAGTTACAGTGTTTACACACGTTTTTACGTTTGTTTGCTATTGTTTCATTCCTTTTTTCCGTGTCAGCAGTATCTCTGACACCATCACGTGACAATGTATAGAAAACTTGGAGGGCTTGGTTAAAGCTTATTCGAGTTTAAAATTGTAAATTTAGTATTTCGATAATTATAATTACTAACGTAACCGAGTGCACATCTGCTCCCCTCTTCTTCTTTAACCTCGCCCCTCAAAAAAAAGAGATTCTTTTTTTTTTGAAAATCAGGCGTCAGCCAATCCACGGACTTAAACACTCATGCAAAGTCTATTAACGATACAGACTCCGTCCTCATCAGGCATTTATTTCACCATATATATCCAGGTATCTACTTTAGTCAATATTATATTCAGCTTAAGGTGTCACAGTCAGCAAAATATAATGAAATATAATTCAGATTTAGTGTTACATGTATATAAAGAATGAATACGTGTTATCTGCCCTGCAGCACATAGGGCACTAGAAGAACGTCGTTATTGTGGCTATTTATCACATACCGCTACCATTTAGGACTTCCGCTGCATCATGTTATTGGTAGGGTTGTAGTATACGTGTACAATGTACCGGCAATTGAACACATGGAATGAAATCCTAAGACTGAAGACTGCGGTCAATTTTCTGGCCCTATCATTAAAATGGTGAATTGTAACTGTTGGATTACATGTACATACAATGTACCATGTTCTGTTACCCGAGCTATTTAATAGTTACAGTTTATAATCTTTAACGATAAATTCCTTTTTGTCGGTTAATATTGCGTTTTTGGGGTAATGCCACCAAGCATGTCTCCTTGTCGGTCTATAATTGTATCCAGGGCAGTGTATAATCCTATCCAAGCATGTTTCCTGGTTTTGAATTGGCGTTGATAATTTAAATCTTTAAATTTACTTGACATTGAGAAAGCATGTGCCTCAATTTTAGTTTTGTGTGGTCGGACCATCATTCACCTAACTTTTACGACGTAGTGTACACGATCTACAGACCAGAGATCTGTGTGGACCATTGTATTACCACGTACCTCTACATCAGGACTCGGGTTCGGCAAAGGATTAAAGTTTTTTCATTGTACACAGTTATCATTACATAAAAAACCACAGATCAGCAGCCACCGGAAGCATTCTAACAGTAAAGTAAGCGAGCATTAACAGTGAAATGTATCTTGTCGGTATTCATAATGTGCTTTTAATTCCAAAATATTTACATTTGCATGGCATTGTCACTATATAGCCTCTTTGAAAGCTGTGTCGTTGATGGGACTTTAATTACCATGCATCACGAGACACAATTCTTAGCGTATTAATACAACACTGACCGGAACTACAATATCCAATATAAATAAACATGACGGCTGCTAAAATATCGCTGGGCATTGTGAGATTTGACAATGTCATTGTAAATTTATGTGCAAAAGGAAAAATAAAATAAAAAACACTTTTATTACAACGAAAACAAGGACAAAGTCTGCAATCTCGTACAAAATGCATATCGGTTGAAATCACCAATGCCGGCAATGGAAACAATTTTAACGCTCATGCAATTTATCAGAAATATCGTCTGTTACACTGCACTGACCAACAGGGGTTCGTTACAAATGTCTGAAATACACATATTTTATAGACCTACTGACACCTATGTTACAGACCTACTGATATCAGTCACAGCACACATAAACATTTCAGACATTTGTAACGAACCTATGCTCCGTCGCAAGATCACTCACTTCAAACGCTATCAGTTTCACGCGTCTCGGATCCACGGTTCCTCAGTTTCTGACGACATGTCAAATAACGATGGTGTTATAGAATCTAACGACTGTTGTCAGGTTCCCATACAATCAACAAATACATTCACGCCTGGATTCTTCACAAAATGAGCAAAGAGAAAAGTTCGAATTAACTTCCAAAAATAACTCCCTCGTGGAGGGCAAGGTCGGATTTACGGTGTTCACTGTATTTGTCCATGCGCGAAATTTGTTCCGGGAAAAAATCGAAACAATTTCAAATTTAACTTTCAGATCAGAGCTCTATTGATAAACTTAAATCACCCTATAGACATATCATACGCAATTGAATTGATACTGAATTGAGGAATAAATTTGAAGTGTTTGTTAAAATTTCAAAGTACTACTTTGTTTGCCAATCAGCACGCGACAATACGCTGTTCAAACTATTGAACGAAATTGTGTGGACTGTCGATAAGGCGGGCATCATATCAAAACTTATTGGCATTATAACTTAATATTTTGCAAATTTTCTTATGTATGATCGATAAAGGAAGTTTCAGTTCAACCCTATGATAGTGGCACTTTTGTGACTTTATGACAACATTTCAGTCGCAAAAGTGCCACTCACATAGGGTTGAGTTAATTTCAATTGTATATATTCCATCGTATTAAAACTTTTGGGCATTATAACTTAATATTTCGCAAGTTTTCTTATTTATGATCGATTACTGAAGTTTCAAGTCAACCCTATGAAAGTGCCACTCACATAGGGTTGAGTTCATTTCAATTGTTTATAGTCCATCGTATCAAAGCTGTGCCATTCAATGCTTAATTGAATCCCATTGCCGATAATGCCAGACCGGTGGCTTTATTTGTACAAAGCATTCCATAATGGTTTGTATAGAAACACCCTTAAACGTCGTTTAAAAGTGAAGCATACATAACGATGTGTCCATTGACTAGAGTAATGCACCTATTTTTTTGTCTGCATACATAATGATATTGCTATTATGAATTACAGAATAATGTTATTCCTCTGGTGTGCAATAGTGAAGGAGTGTCTCTGTATTACAGGGATTATACAAGGAATGTTTGTGTTTTACAGGGATCATACAAGGAGTGTCTCTGTATTACAGGGATTATACAAAGAATGTGTGTGTTTTATAGGGATCCTACAAGGAAAAAATGTGTTTTACAGGGATAATACAAGGAATGTGTAGGTATTACAGGGATCATACAAGGAGTGTGTGTGTATGACAAAGATTATACAAGGAATGTGTATGTATTACAGGGATAATACAAGGAATGTTTGTGTTTTACAGGGATCATACAAGGAATGTGTATGTATTACAGGGATCATATAAGGAAAGTGTGTGTTTAACAGGGACAAGGAATGGATGTGTTTGACAGGGATAATACAAGGAATATGTAGGTATTACAGGGATCATACAAGGAGTGTGTGTGTATTACAAAGATTATACAAGGAATGTGTATGTATTACAGGGATAATACAAGGAATGTTTGTGTTTTACAGGGATCATACAAGGAGTGTCTCTGTATTACAGGGATTATACAAAGAATGTGTGTGTTTTATAGGGATCATACAAGGAATAAATGTGTTTTACAGGGATAATACAAGGAATGTGTAGGTATTACAGGGATCATACAAGGAGTGTGTGTGTATTACAAAGATTATACAAGTAATGTGTATGTATTACAGGGATAATACAAGGAATGTTTGTGTTTTACAGGGATCATACAAGGAATGTGGATGTATTACAGGGATCATATAAGGAATGTGTGTGTTTAACAGGGACAAGGAATGGATGTGTTTGACAGGGATTATACTATGAGAGAATGTTTAACAGGGATTGTACAAGGAATGTGTGTGTTATACAGGGATGATATAAGGATATGTGTGTGTTTAACAGGGATGATATAAGGAATGTGTTTGTTTTAAAGGGATGATATAAGAATATGAGTGTGTTTTACAGGGATGATATAAGAATATGAGTGTGTTATACAGGGATGATATAAGGAATGTGTGTGTTTTGCAGGGATGATATAAGGAATGTGTGTTTTACAGGGATGATATTAGGATATGTGTGTGTTTTACAGGGATCATACAAGGAATGTGTGTGTTTTACAGGGATGATATAAGAATATTTTCGTGTTTGACAAGGATCATACAAGGAATGCGTGTGTTTTACAGGGATGGTATAAGGATATGTGTGTGTTTTACAGGGATGATATCAGGAATGTGTGTGTTTTACAGGGATGATATTAGGATATGTTTGTGTTTTACAGGGATGATATAAGGAATGGGTGTGTTTTACAGGGATGATATTAGGATATGTTTGTGTTTTACAGGGATGATATAAGGATATATGTGTGTTTTACTGGGATGATATAAGGAATGTGTGTGTTTTACAGGGATGATATAAGGATATGTGTATGTTTTTACAGGGATCATAAAAGGAATATGTTTGTTTTACAGGAATCATACAAGGAATGAGTGTGTTTTACAGGGATGATATAAGGATATGTGTTGGTTTAACAGGGATGATATAAGGATTTGTGTGTGTTTTACAGGGATGATATAAGGATATATGTGTGTTTTACTGGGATGATATAAGGAATGTGTGTGTTTTACAGGGATGATATTAGGATATGTGTGTGTTTTACAGGGATGAAATAAGGATATGTTTGTGTTTTACAGGGATGATATAAGGAATGGGTGTGTTTTACAGGGATGATATTAGGATATGTGTGTGTTTTACATGGATGATATAAGGATATGTGTGTGTTTTACCGGGATGATATAAGGATATGTTTGTGTTTTACAGGGATTATATAAAGAATATGTGTGTTTTACAGGGATGATATAAGGATATGTGTATGTCTTTACAGGGATCATACAAGGAATATGTGTGTTTTACAGGGATCATACAAGGAATGTGTGTGTTTTTCAGGTATGATATAAGGATTGTGTGTGTTTTACAGGGATGATATAAGGATATGTGTGTGTTTTAAAGGGATGATATAAAGAATGTGTGTGTTTAACAGGGATGATATAAGGAATGTGTATGTTTTACTGGGATGATATAAGGATTGTGTGTGTTTTACAGGGATGATATTAGGATATGTGTGTGTTTTAAAGGGATGATATAAGGAATGTGTGTGTTTTACAGGGATGATATAAGGAT